TACCAGTGGCCGAAGGATAGCAGGGCACTTAAATCTTTTATTTGCACGAAGCGAATGGATTTCACGCCATCATCGATGAGTGTTCTCTGCCATCTCCACTTCAAAGATGACTGCTTTCTCAACCGGTCTGCTTATGATCAAGGATTTGCAAAAAAGTAAGTGTGATTTTTGGATCGATGATGATGATTTTGTCAAAGCATAGCTGCCAACTCTTGTGAAATGAACAGTAGAAGGTAGCGACGTTAGCCGAAAGCTAACTCGAGAAGCTAGCAACGTTGAACAGGAGAAGCTAGCGATAGCGGCGTTAGTTTTCGGCTCGAGGCAAACCCCGATCGATGCTATTCATATCAGCGATGAGTAATAATGGCAGTCAGACAAATTGTTCTGGAAGTACATTTCAATAGGTTGGTAGCGCTGCTTTGTTGACGAATAAACATGACACGTCCTCTTGGAAAACTGTGCGACTAGCCCATAGGCAGTGAACTGCTTTGTAGATTATATGCGTCATAATTACATGCCAATTATTTTAGTTTCATGACGCATATTAAACTTATCCTTTCGAGTAACGAGACTGGGGGAAGCTATTGAATGGAACTGGAGGGCCTGAAAAGATGCAGTTAGGAGTTGGAAGGCTTCAATGTAAAAGTTGTCGTCACTGACACTGACAGGCATCGCCAGGTGCTGAAATGGATCAGGGAGAATTGGACCCAAGTCATCCATTATTATGATTGTTGGCACATTGTTAAAGGTTAGTGTATTTCAATGTTTATAAATGCGCGAGTTTTTGGGATTATGTCTTATATATCATGCACGTCACTTCACGAGTTTTCATATCATATTAAATATACAGGTATGTGCAAGAAACTGGACTCCTTGGCCAAAAAGAAGAGCATGTCGATCCTGAAGGATTGGGTACAAAATTTGAAGTGCCATTTGTACTGGTGTGCACTTTTCTCCCAGACACCGGAGGAAAAGAAGCAGTGTCTGGCATGTGTGGACCACCTGCAGAACATGCACGATAGTTGTTTACATCCTCCAATTACTAGAGAAAAAGCGTGGCTATTACCAGGTATTTTTTTTTTTTTAGATGTTGCCTGCTAGTTAACCCTAAAAAATAGAAATGTTGTCATACCTTATAAATTCATTTAAAGGTACTGAAGTCAATGTCGCAGTGGTGGAACTCCTGACAAAGACCATGTTTGTCAACGATGTCATGAAGATGTCTCACCTCGGACAGACCAGTGGCGTGGAAGCTTTTCACAGTGTGGTGAATCACTTTGTCCCAAAGATGTACTACTTCTCGTACAAAGGAATGAAAAGCAGGTGTGTTAAAGAAAACTGATATGCATGAAATGTAGACTACAGTGAAATGTAGAACTTTGAGATTAAAAAGATATTTCATCACAATTTGACACTTTTTTTAAATAAGATCAGGCATTTTTTGTTCTATTCCAGAATAATTCTTGCTGCTATGCATTATAATGAAAATGCTGGCAGACCACAGAACGTGACAAAGGAAGGAATACACTCCTACTGTATCGTTTATCCCAAATATAAGAGTGGGGGGTATTCTCTGAGAAAGATACTGCTGGATGCAACTTATGGTAAGTTATGAAATTAAAAAGTAATTCCAGGCACATACTGAGTATAACCCATATGTCATCCAAATATTTATCATCCCAATATGTTTTTTTTTGTTTTTGTAGACTATGTGAATGACTGCCTGTCAGAGGTGATGAAACTGATTGCCATTCAAAATAAGTACAGAACTGGTGATGTGTGTGTCGACCCGCAATTTTTGACAGCAGCACTGAACAGACCAGACCGGACAAGTCAACCGTTACTGCCGAGCACCAGACTCGATTCCTCAGGAAATAAAAAAATTACATTCCCTGTCTTCAGTTGTCCTCATTTGTTTATTTTTATTACAGTATTTTGTTATGATTGACACCATGTCCACATTAACCACTCTAAAACCAGTCCCAATCACAGTTCTGGAACATTTCTCTGTGAAACACGAAACCCTTTGAGTACAGCTGACTCCTCTTCTGGTGGTGGAAAATGTGCCCTGATACAAGACACGGCGCATGCTGGGAGCACAACACGGTTGTCCTGACCAAGAAACTTCCAGCATCAGCGCATCCTGTGGCCCATCAAATGCCTTGCCTTTGTACTGCTGCTTGTAGGTCATCCATGCCACCTGTAATCCATGTGGGTCCAGGCACACAGCTTTGAGTCCAGGATGGTCGGTGATGCAGTCCAGCACCTGATTGAAGTGTTCCTCTCCTTGTCGACGTACAGTCACTACTTCTTGAATTTCATAGCAGCAAACACATTCGTTGCTGTCGGGATGGGTCGAGGCACACAGCATTGAGTCCAGGATGGTCGGTGATGCAGTCCAGCACCTGATTGAAGTGTTCCTCTCCTTGTCGACGTACAGTCACTACTTCTTGAATTTCATAGCAGCAAACACATTCGTTGCTGTCGGCATTTGCTGGCATTTACCACAAGTACACCTGATAAAAAATAAAAAAAAAAAGTAAAATACAGAGCGATGACACCATGAGCGTAAATTTTATTGAACAAGCGTATTGCTCACAGTTGTCACTGGGTGGTACCACCGCACTACGGTTCACTTACATTATGGAATGTCCTGCCATACTTATTTGTCCATACTTATTTGTCATGTCCTTGTTTATGATGATACTAATGCAGCGTGTTATACCCGAGACAAATTCCTTGTGTCTTCTACATCCTTGGCCAATAAAGACGATACTGATTCTGATTCTATAACCATCAATCAATAATTCTGTTGTTTATGAAAACATTTGATTCAAAATATACAAGTATATGGATGGAATACTGTACAAAAGTTAAAAGTCATTACAAAAATCTCTCAAGTACAAGTCAAAAAATGATTTGCTAAAAAGAACACTCAAGTACCAAGTAGGCTAACTGCTTGAACATGAAGTCTGATTATTTTTTTTAAACAATGTCATCAGATAGATCAAAACATAATATTATGTGCACATGCCTGCATCTTCAAATCATATAAATAATACCAGCCTATATCTTACCAATCTTGTGATCTCGATGGGTCTTGTCTCCATTCCATGTCAGGTCGTCTGGGCACATTGTTT